CAGCACACATCTATAACTTTAGACTATGTTTTCAGGATTTCAGCAGAGGATGACTATGCATCTTAAGAAGGAAAAGAAATAAAGCTGTACAAAGAGCCTACATTTGGGTGGCTAAATCCAGAGTTATGATGAGTTCACCTATGTCCTTCCCACGGATCTTCTCCTGGTACACTTAATTGTTGAATATTCTACCTTTTTAATATTCTACTCAGGAGTGATTGAAGAGGCACCATATGGAAATTTCTTAGCATTTTCTGTGTTGCTAATGTCTGTCCCCACATCACTTCAGAGAACATTAAGTGCATGTGCCAAGTAAAGTCTGATGTTCAGGTCAGTGTTACCGTGTGTTTACAGAGACTGAAATCACGAAGAGCAACAGCAAAGCTGGTGTTTTAGACATAAAAATTAGACATCATCATAAACCACATTTACACCAAAAAAAAGTAAACAGAGTCACAGCACTTATTTTTATTCTGTTAATCTGGGAATATTGTTTATTTAGCTTCAGTTGGTACAAATCTGTTCTGCTGAAATGCTAAATCGAGGTTTACAGAAGTGGTTGGGAAATTAGATGTCATTATCTTCAGGTCTTGCTCTTTCTGCTCTGTAAGTGCAGCCATCTGCAAACAACAGCTCTCTAACAAAGACTCTGATGATGCACACAAACAAGACAGATTAAAAAGTTTGAATGAGTGGATTCTAATCTTTACTCCCAGGGTAGATCATGAACTGGGTGATCTAATTTTAGTGCAAAGGAATCTTCAGACAGTGATGGCACAATGAGTCATCCAACCAAAGCACCATGCCGTTGTCATATAATATTGGTCTTATTTAGCTATCATTATTTTTTTTTGTTAGGCACTGAATGCTAGAGCAATTGACATGTTTGCTCTAGGTCTATAACAAGCACAAACTTCTGTTTTTGCTGCCCTGGTGTGGAAAAAGGCCTTAGCAGTATTGCTATGCTGTGAATGATTAATAGGTTAGATACACAAAAGGGTATAGGTACCACATGTTTTCACATTACTACTACATAGCTGTGACAGAGATGTCTTCCTCATCAAGCCAAGTAACCCAGTGTTTAGGCTGTGCAGAAAAGGAGACATCAGGCTTAATACTATCACCTGCCAGAGAATCTCAAGCACGCAGTTGTTACTTCTCCAAAGAAAAATGTACCATGAAAAGGCAGGCTTCTCAACTTGGGTATTGTCAGCTCTTCCTGACTTAATACTTGCTGGACCAAAGATGAGGTATGCTCTGGCTACCCTGCTTCCTGCTCCAAGAAAAATTCAGGCATTTTACCCGATCACTATTTACTCAATTAAAAAACAACAACAAAACAATCCCTTCAGGCCATCCCTTAAAGAAAGGATTAACTTCTAGGGTGAAGTTTCTTGTAAGACCTGTACCAACATGGAGTTACTCAGGGGCTCACCTGCTTGTTTTCATTCAACCAGGCCCTTGTATCCCATTTTCCCTCTGTTTTCCTCACATTTGTTCCTCTTCAGTCCATCTTAACCCCTCCTTTTCCCAACCTTCAGTCCTTCCCCTATGCATCCAGTGATAATTTTCACACAATCTCCAAATTCTCTTCCCCTTGCATCCCATAACAAATCCTTTATCCACTTAGACTTTAACCCCTTAAATCTGCATGACATTCAGAAGAAAGAATCCTTGAAGTATCTTGGTCAGTTTCACACCAGGTACAATCATCTTACTCTTTCTATGGTCTTAGGAGCAGCGAGTACAGTATGCTTCACATTCACATATTAGATTGCTATGATTCACTGCTTAACACTGTTCCTTGAAGCTTAGTGAATTGATTCAAGACTTTACACACAGGCAAGTTAGTTTCTGGATTTTTCTTTTTCAAAAGAAGTTGAGATTTTGTCTGTCAGCCTATGTCCATTGCCATACTAAGGCTGTCACCACACTACTCATACTGAAAGAAGCAGGCAGTTGTGAAGATGGATCAATTACAAATGCAGGGCTCTTCAACCTCATTGATTAAGCCATGCTCAGTAGTCCCATTGACACCATTTATTACTTTTTTGGTCCTTATAATTCTATTTGTATCTTTCCTTGGACAAATATTTTCAATTCTTCATCTTTGGATATTGTAGTTATATTATATAAGAAGATATTTTGGGTATCCTTTTTTGAGGTAGTTGTCAATAAGGCTACCTTTAACAGCAGTAGATTGACTGTTGTTTGCATTGGCTTTTATTTGACGTTGGATACTGTCTGAACAGGATTACCTGGCAGGGTGAAAAGCAGGTTCAGGTTTTGGTTTTCTATATTTTCATAAACATAGTGTGATCCCGGACTTTTTCAAGTCAATACAGGAACAGGATGCATATGGACTTCTTTTTGACATGTGGTCGTGAGGTGTAGTGGGGGAAAGACCGCTTCTTTTTGCACTGTATCCACTCCAAGTTCCCCAGGAATATCTGCATGTCTGAAAGGATTTCAAGGCTCAATAGATAAATAAGTGAGAAACCTTGCAAGGAAACCACCTCTTAGATACTTCACTTCAGCATTGTGCAAACCTAATTTATGTCATTGCTTTAAATAAAACTAAAACTATAAAGTGGTCATTGGTTAACTTTGGAAGAACATTATAAAGAGAGCAAACTTTTTGAGAGGGCCATATTCTGCTCTGCTCCTCCAGCAGACTTCTATATGACTATTCACTTACAGTCTAAAAGGGGTGCAGTGCAAGTAATAAATGTTATGAGAGTCTGGGAATTTGCTTCTCTAAAACAGGATTGTGTTTGTTAGATGTCCAGGAGAAACAGATTCTCTTTTGTTATGCAGCCTGAATAGGGATTGTTATTCAAATACAGCAATAAAACTCTTGGTCAGATTTAACTTAACCATCTCTCTATACAAGCAATAGGGTTTTTTGCAATGACTGATCCACTCCATGGACTGATGTAAACTGATGCATAGAAACATACAGTCTGATAATTCACACTTGTCTAGGGTCATTTACCAACCAACAGCAATACAACACTGCAGTGCTAACAGATGGAAGGGTTATTTGCAGAGCAAGACAAGGCAAAACAACTTAAGAAATGTAACAAAATGATATGAAAACATAAAGAGGAAATGAATTGTCACCGTTTCCCTCTGAAGCTGCCAGATATTCAACCTGATTTCTGACTTAGTTGACTCTTCACAAATAGTGAACAGGTATTCTTTAGTGTGCGATCTACAGTATATTCAAACTGTGTATCGTAACATTCTCTATATGTTAACCTTCATATAACACAGGTAAAGGTGGCATGTAAAGCTGCTGTCACTGTTTTACTTAGTCCCATCATTTTAATGATGCTTAGCACTGTATATGTGCAAAGCCAGGTAGATTTGTTCTTGACACATCTTCCTTGTAAGGTGAGTAAATATCATTATCTTAGTATCACTGATGAGATACTTGAGAAAGATTCTGAGTCACTTAAGAGCTATATTCAGATTTAATAATTTTTTCTTTCCTTTTTTTTTTTTTTTAACTTTGAGGGACATGTCTTCTTGGTTTACAGCGTTAAAAGTTATAACTGGGACCAGGATCTAACCCCTGCATGATGTGAGCAGGGCTACACAGTGTGTCAGTGGTAAAGCTGATTCTCAGTCCTGACTCCCCTCCTGGCACTCATCTTGTACTTGCTGATATTCAACAACAAACCAGTTTTATTCCACAAATCTCACTGTCTAGCTAGCAAAATGTCTAAGTACAGCATCAGTACTTCCCCTTTAGCCCACAGTCTATAATGAGCACTGGACCCTGATGAGATGCACCTTACAAGGAAAAAGAGATTTCTTTCAGATTTAACAAGGCACTGAGTAGCTGCAGTAAACAAAAGCGCAAGTGCAGCTGGCAAATGTGTGTTGCTCTACGGTTTATTATAACAAAGAGGAACAGCATACACAGCTGCTTTGGGCTGTAGGCTTTGTCCATTTAAAGCCTTTGGTACCTCAGCGAGTACCCAGAGGCACCACGGTGAGTCTGTAGTAAAGTAGCCTGCTCCTCTTCAGCATGCAAGGAAACCTTCCTGCCTTGTGCAGTGCACCTGTGCTGTGAGCAAGCCAAAAAGAGGGGCAGACTCAGCAAAAAAAAAAAAAAAAGGAAAAAAAAAAGAACCTTCCCTGCAGGTTTTTGTGTGTACTCTTGACATTTACAGAGTAGTATGTTCTAGTATTTATTCTAATATTTAAAAAGTTCTCCTCCAAAAGAGTCTTGTCATTGCTTGACAGACGTGTGCATTGCCAGTAGATAAGAATACGTCTAGAGAACTGGTTTGAAATACATCTTCGAAATATTTTAATAGCCTATTGATTTTTTTCCATATTAACCTATCCTGAAAAGAGAGAGTGAAAAGTGTGGGGGCTGACTGGAGTCTGCTTTCTGTGCAGAATTTAGAAGTAATTCAATGCCTTCAAGTTTTTTGCATTTCTGTTACCCTTTAAGTGTGTCCTCCAAAGTTACCATGACAGAAAGGTATTTGCATTTATACCCTATTTCAGCTTCTACACCATAGAAACTATCTGATATTTTTTCTTCTTTCTCCCAGCTGGCTTGCATTTACACTCACTGTGTTTCTTGAAATGTACTGTTGTGGATCTCTATTTTTCATTATGACAGAGGGAAGCTGATCTCTCAAAGTCAGATTCTGCATCTGAGCAAAAAGCTGGCAATTGTCACACTTCCTCAATTCACCAGGTCTTTGGCATGGTGGCAGAGCAATTCTGAACACTGCCTCGCAAACATACATTATTTCCCAGTGCCTCATCAGCTGGATCACACACAGAATACAAATTAATGGTAAATGCCAATCAACGCTGGTTTATGGTCCCCCATGCTGCCATTGTTGTTCCTCTGTGCTCTTATTGGATTTTCATGTCCAACTGTATGTTCACCCACATTTTGCTTCATTCCCTTTGCATGAATGAGTAATGAAGGCATTTCTATTTTTAAATCTGGCAGCTCTGCTATGCACTGACTCCTGTGTAAAAGTTCCATGGGAAAAATCGAAGAGTGGCTGTGTAAGTTGTTTTTCTTCTTTTTTTTCCTTCTTTTTATGATTACGGTTCTATCTGTGCAATACATAACTAGCTTATCCTATGGACAAAAAGTCATTTATTTATGCAGAGGTAATGCACTGAGATGATTAAGTTTTGCCCCAAATCTTTTACTATGAATTATATTTAAATTCTCATCAGTTCTTCCCCCCTCTTCAAGGTAACAGAGTAGAATTTATGAATACATAAAAGAAAGATATTAAACCAGGTTAGTCAGCAATTATTCAGGAAAAAAACCCCTCTCGGCTAGCCTTATTCTTTTTAAACCTTTCTATGCAACCATTGTTTGTTAAAAGTGATAAAAAGTAGCTGAGCTCAATTTTATTTCATTTTGAGAACCATATAAATCTTCTTTCCTTATACAACAGGACTCAAGTAGCAGGCAGAGACATTAAAAAATGTTATTTGCTGATTCCCTTCAATACCATTCTCTTAGATATTTGAGTTTACAATCGGTGGAATCTGTGGTATTTATCCTAACCCTTGACAGTTTTACTGAAACTTATGGCCTCCAGTGGACTGAATCTCAGTACAAGACACAGAGGTCCTATAGCTGTTCTCTAAGTGCTGTATGTGCTTCCATAGTGTAAGGCTAAGCTCTGAGACATCATCTACCTGGAGTTTCACCAATCATAAAAATCCTTATTGTAAAACAGGTCAGACATCTGACAGGCAAACATTATTTTATTTGGATTTTGATCAGAGTCTGGATCACATATTCATTAGTCATCCTCTTTTAAGCTATTGAACTCAAGAAATCTGCATGGAAGTCAGTAAAAAAGAGGCAAGAAACCTTCGCTTCTGAAGAGCTGCTTTGCATAGAGGGAGAAGTTGTTTAAGGCTGGGAGAAAACAGGCTTGTAATCAAAGCAACAGTCACAGAGATCTGTTTGTATCCAATCTAGCCTAATCCTGCCTGCACTCCACTGGCAGAAATGCAGACCAGTTGGACAGTGTGTTACGAAGCTTTGTTGTTTCCTATGAAGAACAAAAGATTCTGTGCAACTCCTTAACCTGCTGTTTCTGAAGGTGTGAAGGCTGTTCTTCTCAAACCAGTGCTAAGTGTCAGCAGAGTGAATTGGAGTTGCATTAAGAATAGAGAGAACTACTGTTCTTATTGAAAACAAGACCTCAAAGTGACCCCCAGGAATACAATCACTCCAAGAGCAACCAGTTCAAACATCATAAACAGCCAATGCACATTTTCAGTTGTGAAAAATTAAGTTTTTAAGCACCAGGAAAACATCTTTCCTCAGGAACTGTTCTGGAAAAACTGCAACCAAAGAGATCTTCATTTACAACAACTGTTCAGGATGGAATGTATTTAAATTGCCCACACAGCAAATTTGCAGTCCTGGAGCTATACAAAATTATTCAGCCTTTTTTATCTTTAATTCTTTATCTCAAAGGCTTGCCTATTCTATTTTGAAATTATTTTTGCAGCTAAGAAGGAGAGGAGCTTGTTCGGCTGAATTAGTAACTCAGATGATTTCTGCATGTAAATGTTCAACGTATATTTTTCTGATGCATGCTGCCCTAGCCATTTCCTGGAACTGTGGCTGGAAACAGCCTTTTTATTGCTCATTTCTCACTGCTAAAACTCAATGAAATTCAATTATCACAAAAACAGTCAGTAGGCTTCAATTTTGCGTGTCCTGTTACTTTTTAAATTTGGAGTGCCTCCCGATTGCTGTCACAGCTATTGCATTGTCTAAATCAATTGCCATGGCATGCTCACTAAATTGAGAAATGTTGTTGTGAATGCATAAGAGGTCTCAAGTATCAACAGAACCAGATACAAACAGGGAGAAAATAAAAGGTAGGGGAATTTTTCATCTGCTACAAAACTTTATTCCTTTGTCTGATTTCCTTTGAGGATTCACCAAGGGACAAATAATACTTCACCCTTTCTGCCTGCATGTTTGTTTCAAAACTTCTTAAGCAGACACGAGTGCTGCTAAAGCAGCGATTCAAAGACAAATGGTTACAAGTGGAAATTTTATGGCTTCAGGCCTGTAAATTCTTTTTCAAACTCAAATATTGTGCTTTTTTCCAGAGTTTATTTACAGAGATATGTACTTAAGGCCAGATTGTGTCTTGCATATTCAGGTGTTTCTGGGAAAGCAAAAACTGCAAGACTGGCCATGGACTGGGGGACTATTTCCACTCTATTATAGTATTGAGATAGCTGAGGAAAAAGCTCTGATCTTCCTATACACCTTTACATAAAGGAGGAGTAAAGCATTTCACCTCACTGAGGACATTGCACTTCAGCCGAGCAGCTGTGGAAGTGCTCTCTATCCCTCTGGCTTTAGTGGAGAAAAGCCCAAAGTGGGCACAAACTGCCGGGCCAAAATCACAAGCTCTTGTTGCCATTTATCGGCTTTAAGAGCATATAAGGCATTCCAAGTAGCAGCTCAGTGCATTTGAAACTAGAATTCAGTTTCCACAGTTACGTACACCTACGACTTTGACTCAGTCACACGGCAAGAGGAAAATTAATGCAGGTGTAAATAAGAGAATTTGTTAAAAACTACAAAAGATGGGGACCTTGTGCATTTGGAGAGAAACACCCTCAGCTTCCTCAGTACAGCACAGAGGAAAACAAATACAATGTCTCTCATCCAAAAGTATAACTCCTGTGTAGATCAGATGAATTGCACCCAAAGAGGGCTCATTTCTTTCCAGTGACTCTGAAGGGCAAATCTTCAATATAAAGATGCAGAATTACCTAACTGAAATCTTGTTATATTGGAGTTAGGTTGAAATATTTCACAGTATTTCAAGATTATAAACTCTTCATCTATATCCTTCATGTTTGACTGAAAAATTTGTGTTCTTGATTATGAGGTTCTATCGTCACATTTAAATTTATAGATTGCAGTTGAACTTGTTCCTGTTAAAACTGAGTCCATATTGCACTTTCTTCTCTATAAGCAAATCCACAGATCCAGTATGAGCATCAGGCCTCGTACCCTTACATCTATGAATTCCTGATTAAGGATTAACTAATGTTTTGTTGTTTTTTTTTTTTGAAAACTCCACCATAAGTTAGAGAAAGGACCTGGCTAGGACGTGTAAGAGAAAAGAAGCCTTTTGTCTTCTATGAATTTGGTCATCTAGGTCCCCCCCAAAAGGCAGTTCACCCTTGCTCAGTACAATTTTAATAGTTTTCCAGTTCTGTATCTCATAGATTCAATTACTTGAGCATATTCTATTCCTGACATTTTCAGAGTTTAGCAGGATTTTCAATGCAGTTGCAGCTGTGGGCTGCTGCAGGCAGGAGCAGAAACCTTCAGTGTAAGTAAGGGCAAGGAGACCCTCTTCCTTACGTTGTCAACCAGTTGCCTTCAGGGCTGTTGGATTTAGGAGGACCCTGCCCCATTTAAATTCAGAAGGACATCAGTGGGACTTGAAGAGGGTAGATAGGGACAATTATTGTAGACTGAGAGAGTGAAAAAGAAGGAAGCTGGGACTAGCAACTGAGGTGGAGGGAGGAGGGTCCAAAAGAGTAATGTGGATCCTGGTCTGTGAATGTGAAGCTGAGGCAGAGGTTGACTGACAAGTTGGAGTGGAAAGGTTGGAGAAGGAATCAGAGAGAGTGAGTGATGATGTGTGGAAATAAAAATAAATTAAAAAAAACCCAAACAACAAAAAGGAAACCAACCAACCAAAAAAACCCCAACAAACAAACCCCAAACCAAACCCCAGCAGGTAGAAATAAGAGGTAAGACATACTTTATGAAGGAAAAGAGACTTTAAATGGTTAGATAAAAATGGGAACAGGAAGCCAACATGGCCAAGTGACACAAAGAGTAGTAGAGGCACAGTATAAAAAAATTGCTTACACTGCAAGTAAATTGAAAGGAAGCTTTTGCTGACAAGACCATATTCCTCTGTTATAGTATAAAGCTTGCAATATTCAAGTCTCACCTTTCCTCTGCTATCAGAACTTATTTTCTAGTTAGCGCCCAAGAAATCTGCCATAATTCCCTCATTTTGAAGAAGTGTCTCCGCAGTAGAGATAATAATTCTAACTGTGCTGGTGAAGAGTTGATACATGATCACACATAGAACATGGCACATAAAAAAATCTTAAAAGAAGTTTATTTTGGTTGCAAAGTCAAGTTCTCAGATTTTAAGAAATGTCAGGATTGAGATTGCCTGTGAAACTCTCATTATTTTCAATTGACAAGCAGTCGTGGCTTGATTACTAGTGATTTCTTCTGCAAGGTTCCTGCATAATATAGCATACTGAGTAGATTTGCTCTGATATGGGTTAAGGTCATTCAAGGAAAGACAATTGTTTTCTGTAGGATGCCTTCTTCAAAAGGTGAAATACTAGAATGTGGTAGTTTGTGAATTAGATAAATGGTAAGAGGGAAAGCAAAAAGTTAGGCCTCAATTAAAATAAATTAAATCTTCCAGGACAACTGGACTCTGTCCCCAATTCTGAGGGACAGAGCTCCTCACTAAGTCTGGAAAATTCATATAAACCAGAATTAGTGCTAGACCTTACTAACCATGATTTTCTGAGACTGAATATTCATTACTGTAAATACCTCTGGTTTTGATTTGTCAGTTCCTAACATTGATAGCCCCAAACCTCACATGGCAGACATTAGAAAATCATTCACAAAATATTCCAGTCTCACAAACTATAATGGCAAGTGCTATTGAAAAGACCAAGAGGAAAATAAGCTTGTCTTAAGAAAAGGGTTTGAATCATGAGTATTATTAGGGTGCAGATTATAAAACAATGAAGAGAAAATACAAGATTGAATAACTGTCGTGAAGCAGCATTTGTCTCAGAGGAATGAAAAATACTGTATTAAAAATATAATTTATGAAATAGTAATTAATAGTAAAAGAGGCTGACTTAAGTTTACACTGGAATTTCTTAACTTTTCCAGGCTTTCAACCTCAGTAGTGAACTTTTAGCTTTGTTGTATGTTCTTTAGAAGCATATTACTTTTTTTTTTTAGAAATTTAAGAAATTTTACCTTTAAATTACACAAAGCAATTTACCCACATTTCCTGTTTATTCTTTCTTATCTTCTTGTGCCAAAATTGCTGTCAGTGTTGCAAAGAGTAAAACAGCCAAAGCAGTGTTCCTGGGCGGGTTTAGTCCAATGTATGTGAATTCATTTTCAGTAAAATATCTCAAGTATAGCACTGAAGTATTGTAGCTCTTCTGCTTCTTTGTTTGTACCCAGCCCATTCATTTCCACATTGCGTGGTGCTGTAGAATATGGAAACATCAACACATAAATTCTGGTTCTTAGGGACCTTCTCGGAAAATGTGGAAAATAACATATTTCTAGTTCTCCTGTATTCCAGGCTCAAGAATCTCTAGGCTTGTGTTACAGTAGCCATGTCTCTACCCTCACTAGTCCTTACAGTGGGGACAGCTGGAGCAGAGATCAGCAGGAAATCTCAGGTAGGGAAGCTAAACTTCTGCTGCGTTTCTGGAATGAGACAAAAGAGGCTCTGTGTGGGGTACACTCTGTCTGCTTGTGTTAGTGCGATTCTGGTACACCAGGGTGAATGAGAAGCCCACTGATTTTAGATACTGGGAAGAATTCGCTGTGATTGCATAGGTTTTTAGCAGCAGTTTCTAAAACCAGTGGTAAGCCCTGGGGTTGGGAATGAACTTTAAGCTATTTCTGTGAGTACTTGTAAATAACCTTAGTGGGTGTCCATGTAATGCCTTGTGTAATCAACTGTGAAGAAGTCTCAAGTTTTGTCTTCCAGTCCTTCTAGCTTTACAGAGGTTCGGGTGTGTATAAAGCTTCTCAGCAATCACACAGGGTGACAGAATTTCCCTGAAAGGCAGGTGGTGTAATGAACATCACTAGTCTGTCATCTCCCAGAGGGTCAAAAGGACAGAGATTCATCAAAACTGCACTGTAGAACTTGTGGAGTTTAAAAAGATAGACGCCCTATTTCTTTAGACGTTAAATATATAATGTTTATAGGCATGACTCTTATTAAAGCCTTATTTCAATAGAAAGATTTTCCGTCTTTCTACCAGCTTTCCATCTAAGGAAGCCTAAAAGGTGGTATTTTCTGCCACCTTCCCTTCCCTCTCCGCCCTTACCCTGCTGCTCTGTCTGCTTCACATCCCCTGGCAGAGATGGAGCTGTTGCACTGCTAGCCCCTCATTGTACCTGCATGTAGCCTGCATGTACAATTTCCATGAAGTCACAAGGAAAAGGACAAGGCTCAGAGTGATGGATGAGAAGATTATGAAGAAACAGAATTCCTTTAATGAACTGCAAGTCTTTATATGCCAGTTTCTCAAATAGGCTTGTGCACCGTTGCATGTACTGGTTCAAAAACGTGGCCTAATTCATTTTCTCTGTGGCTGTTAGTGATGTGACGTCCTGTAATTACCAGGGGAATAACTCACAGAGGTAGTCTTTTGGGGTGTGTGAATATATGTTCCTGATCGAATCACCATGCACGTGGCCTGTCAAGTAAAAGTGCCTGGAAACCTAAGAGGTGTCATATGTTTGTTTTGTTAAGTGTAGTAAAGATGAAGGCAGACTTGGAAAGCCAAGGTTGTCGAGTACTAAAAGTGAACGCCTTATTTTGTGAGGACATTTCCTATTTCTTTAAAACCCTGTGAATATTCAAAGTTGAGAGATTGATCTCTCAATCAGATCAAAATGATGTGATGTTTTTTAGTACTCTGACTAAGGGAAGATGTCTTTTATGAGGGCTTGTGTCTTTCTGTTGATTTTACATCTTCAGCTGTTGGAACCGAAATAGTAAAGTAGGTATTTTGGAAGAGTGTGCCATTAGTATTGCCACTGGGACAGAAGCTGTAGAAAAGCCAGTCTCAAATCCACATCACGTCTGCATCCAGTCCTAGGTAACAATGCCCATACAGCACTTTCTTGGCATCTACACATGGTCAAGTGCTTGTGACCTTTCCTTCCAGACACAGATCTAGCTTCTATTACCCCTGCTTGAGATAAAATCATTTTTGGTTTTCTCCATATGTTCAAAGACGAACTCTCTATCCTTTAAATAGTACAGTTACAGTCATCTCTTTGCTAGCAGGTGCAAGAATTACTGGGTCATTATTCAGAACATATCCTCCTGTACCTGCTTTGGGACATGCAGCAGTCCTGGCTGCCCCTTAAACAGCTGTGTGAAGGATATAGCACAAACTAGGCTACAGGGTCCTTTCTTAATACTGGAGTTCATATGCTTTAGTAAGGATGTACAGGTATAAGAAATGAATCTCAACACAAATGCACTGCATCTAGATAGATCAGATACTTAAATATTCCACAAATAATTGCAGCCATAAACATATGCATCTGCTGTGCTACTGTATTTCTCCTGTTTTACTTGGATTACGGGGAAAGACAAAAGGAAAAAAATGAAGCGGTTTTATGTAGCTTTTTTAAACTTTTAAAACAACCCCCAGAATGACCACATACAGGTAGCAGATTAATAACGGTTACTTATTTGGGTTAGCATGACTGCTTCTTCTATAGTCTAACAAGCTGACTGCTGTGTGATGTGCAGGGGGGTCCTCCCTTATTTAGGTAAGAGTTTCCAGTGTTAATGGCTAGCTACAGTAACTGAGATGTAAATGACCCTGAATGATTAGCAACAGGGTTTTGGAGAACCCTGGGCAAAGGAGATCCTATCAGATGAGTTAACTTCTAGCATTTACAGGCATGTGGCAGCCTGGGGAAAGTCTAGTCCTTTTATCTGGCACACTGGAGGGCAGCTGAAAGGAATCAGATCTCCTTTGTGTAACAATAAGTGCCCTGTTGTGCAAAGCCAATGAGCTGAAAGGAAGAGAGCAAGAAAGGGCTAAGAAACACTGCAGAGAGGCTCCATTGTTAACTACTTGTCCATCTAGTGTTTTGAAAGGGCATCTAGGTAGGAGAATTATACACACTACTCAGACTTGAGGATTACATCACCCCACACGGCTTTCCTTTGTGTCCAAGCTGCATTTCTCACCTTCATGGCAATTCAGATCCTATTAGAAGGTGTATTTTGAAGATTATTCCCCTCAGTCAGTTTCTGTCTGCCTTGTTACTTGTTGGACAGCTTCAAGACGCAAACCTCAGTTCTTACAATGGCATCTTTTCTAGTAAATTGTCCTATACAAAGTGTTCACATGCGTATAAATTACATAGGCTTGTAAGGTACTCTTGGAAGGGATTAATTTTATGAATGGAGGATAATGGCATTTAACTTGTGTGTTATCCCAAGGGTCTCTAATGTAACAAGGAAACTGCTGATTGATGTAACTTGTCCTGAAGCAAAACAACTCAGTTATGTAGGTGTTGTCTAGAGCTCAGCAAAATCACAAGAGATCCTAACGCTGCATATTTTGGCTTCAGTTCACTAGCAGTAAGCCTTTTTTTTTCTGGCATGAAAAGTGCAAAAAAATCTATTTGATGCTTTTTATAGCATACTTTTCTTGAAACTTATGGTAGATACATGTCTCTTGTAGTTTATGTGGTGTCTAGTGACAACTGAATATGTATCTCTGTAGTCAGGAGTTCAAGTCTCCTTCCTCTAGCTACCTAAAGCAGGTAATAATCAGTAAGACTGCTAACACCTACAAAAGTTATCAGTGTTTTCTTTGTAAGATAGTCATCCAGAAGTGCCAGTTAAGGTATAAATTAAAAATTCTGAATAAGAAGTAAGCATATTTTGACCATTTGAAAGAGGTAAATAAAGAGATACAAGTGTCTCTTATTCCTGATGAGAAGATGGAAAGATGTCTCTTTGTGACCAGTCCTATGCTATCATCTGTCTGTTCCTGTCCCATCCAACACAGCAGCCTTCTGATGGCTGTTCCCTCCCTGGTGCCAGGTACTGAGCCACTCAGTTTTTCACCTAGTATTCGTAAAAAAAAATGAAATCTTTTTCTGCGCCCAATTCTCTCTTTGATTTGTCCACACACCACACTCTACCAATAGATACTTCAGCATGTGTTTCTCCGTCAGTGTACCCCTCCCTGAAGTTAATAAAAACTGAGGACTCTTGCAAACTCCACAAGGAAAAAGCTTCAGCAGAAGTCTGCTGCAAGATCTCACACATGGTCAGAGAAACATTAAGTGAGAAATACATCCCTTGAATTCTCAGCATCTTTTCATAACAGAGATTCCTGTACCTCCTGTTCTGCTTTTTGAATTCTTTTGTTTCAGCCCTAGGCTCCAGAGAGAGTGCTGGCAAAGCTAATGAAAGGAAGGGCAGTGGGATGTATGCTAAAGCATACTAACACTCTATTCTACAATTCTTAATAGACTACCTTGTAGCACTAGGGAAGTTAATCAAGGACTAATATACCAGGTGATAGGAAACTAAACTATAATGAGAATGGGTCTCTGATCACCACAGTTTCAGCTAAGAAATCACTGCTGTGTACAGAATGGTCAATAACAGACAGAGAAACTTCTGTTCTCTGCTTACGAAAATTGCAACCAGCAGTTGTACAATCTTTAGTTGGCTTCTGAAAATCAAAGAATAGTATTTCTTTTTTCAGGAAAGAGCATCTACTTCTTGCTTATTAGACTAATCAGTACTTCTCTGCTGCTACCAAAACTGTGTTTAGCTTAGCTTCTGTTTTTCCTTTCCTAGAGCCATAAGTACCAGCGAGCTGGCATGCTAGTCAAACTGCTTCCATACTGGAACTGAAAGACAACTCCTTTGGGGTACCTTGCCAAATCTTTAAACTTTAATTGACAGCTGCTCTTGCTGTAACATATCTTTAGTTGCTAAACTGTGTGTGTTTCCTTGATCCACCTGGTTCTCAGAACTGACTCTCAACAGCCAATAAACCATGAAAAATGGAAAAAAACCCCAAGGGTTACAAATTCCTCATCCTAGAGGGAGACAGACTTAAATTGCAGTTGCAGTCTGATACTGGTGTTGCAACCAGCTTAAACTATTTTCTACTTTTATAAAACCTCAGTGGGGTGAAAAAAATAGAAACTTTGCTATCAACTGGTTAGTAATTCCCAATTAAAAACAATTTAATGAGTTTAATCTCTCTACCTTTCTTTATCAATTTCTGGATAAATTAAAGGTTCCTGACTGCCTTTACTACGAGAAATTATTTGCAAATACAATTAAGCTCTTGATAATGTATAGTCATAACTCAGCTGTGTCACTTAATAGTGAATGGTAGATCAGCAAAATAATAGGTGATCACTATAGTACCTTGATTAACTAGGCATGTAAACTTTTCAAATATCTTGCTTAATTTTTGAAATTTTTGTTTCTCGATATTTGTGGAAAGCCTGGTTTTTAGATTAAAATTAAATTTTAGATTAAAATTAAAGATTAAACCAGGTGAAAATGAAAGAAAGAGTCCTCCTAAAACTTCAGCTGCGGCACCTAAATTTCTGTAGCTAAGCTTTGTGTCCAGTGTCACTACACCAGTCCTACCTCCGTGTC